TCAGTCTTCCGGTTTTGTTCTCTTACATTTGTTGTGGAAATAATAAACATTGTCACTTAAACGTTCTCTGTGCTGCTCTGCGTCCTGCATTTGAGTCCTATTCCTTTCGAGTCGGCCTCGGCCTTGACAATAACATTTAACATTTTTTTCTCTCTCCCTCTTGGTATGTGTGCTTATTGCTGTGTGTGTGTCTACTTACCCTGCTTTACCTTACAGGGTGAGAACACTGGTGGGATCTCTGCCCTCTCCCTGACACACCTGAAGCAAAACATCTAACAAACAGCTGACTATCCTGGGATCTGACATTCGGTCTTTACTTGAGCTCTGCCTCATAGTTTTGGAAATGCTTCTTTGTTGGATTTTGTAAATAAGAGGCTTTTGAACTAAGAACTGCTGAAAGACTGTAAATAGCACAACCATCACCTGCATTATAAATAAATCTCTAAACTTGCACTACTGAGTTTTGCGTTTGACTTTGACCAGACAGATCGTGACAATCAGCTTTCTCCTATGAAGTAATTAAAGGCTAGAAAATGCTTCCAAAGAATGTCAAAATTTGAACAGATCATCATAACTTCTCTCACCGTCTGAAAAAAATTATTTTAACTGCTCAGTCTTGTGTGCATTAATCTTATTATAATTTTGTTTTGTCTTTTATGGAATTTTACATTTTTAATATTTTAATAGTTTGATATTTGTGTTATCGTGTGTGTTTCTGTGTGTGTTGACCTCAAACTTTTGCTGCTGTACGTGACAAATTCTTTAACATCTAACCTGAAACGTGTTCATGTTTTTGCTCAACAGATGTTTGCTTTCTACAAATCTGTCTGTTACTGGAAACACTGGCATTCATCCCTATTTTGGTTTGTTTGCCCTTTTGTACTCTGATATGATCCAGTCCTGCCAGTAAATCATGCAGCCCACTTCAAGCTACCGATCAAAGTCCTTGTACATCAGGAAGCAAGTCTTGCTTCGTAACCCTTTTTTCGCACACAATATCACTGTAGGATCAAATAATAGGCGTGTGTAGCGCCCCCTACTTAGTACTCCACTAATGCAGGGTACGCCCTGAGTTCTAATTACCTTAAACTTACCCAGTTGCCCTCAGTGCAAGCGCCCCCGAGTTACACACGTATAACACCTTTATCTTACTCTGAACTATATATAAGAAACGGTACAACACACAAGATCTTTCATTTGAACTAAGCAGGTTCTTTTCTCAGGCTCTTTCTTTCTAGTTCAGTTTTTACAGAATTTTGGATTAACTGAAGATTTTTCAAGGAACACTATACTGACAAGTACAGAGTCCACTGAGTCCACTGATGTGTGTTTGGAACAGTCAGTTTCAACTGTTTAGCTGTTGATTTGAGATGAATT